TAGGGAAAAAAGATATTTTTTTAAGGTAAATAATGGGATAGCAAGTAAGAAGTATGAACAAAATTTTAGAGTTGTACATAGGTGAGCAGTAACTGACGTCGTTTTAACTTTTTCGCATTGCTGAAGTAGAGAAGCCAGCAAGAATAGCTGTGCCCTAGAATTCCAGAAAGGCTAGAAATTGGACATACAGATACCTCTTTAACGTGGTCATTCTGGATTGAGCTGAAAACAGTGTTTAAGGCGCACAAGACCCCCAATCCCCTCCTCATCCCTTAAGGCAGGGAGACTGGCCCTCCCTCCCCTGCAGAAGACAGTTTTGCTCTCTGGAAAGTTGAATAAGAGTCTGTAAGACATTAGGTCCGATCCTGGGAATGAGGCACCTTATCTCTCACCTATGTACAACTAAAGACAGGGAGGAGAATGGAAATCATTGCATTGCTGAGTAATAAGACGCCCCAAGCACCTTTCCTCACTAGGCTCCCAGGCTTGTGGCTGCCAGGCCTATACCACCGTGCTCCTCCCAGCAAAACAGGAGGCTCCTCCCTAAGGAAGCTGACCAGTTTAGGGGAAAGCATCTGTAATCTCTGACATTTGGCGGTCCCGGTGAAATGGCTTGGTCTCCTGCAGTGAGACTCGCCAGTTTACCATCCTGGCCCACATACACACGGGGCTTCCAATAACCTTGTTAGTACTTCATTTTTCATTTTAACGTACCATTTTATAAAAGCCTCTAAAATGAAATACAAAAGAAAAAAAGGGAACTTGAAGGAAAGGAGCTAAGGGAAGGAACAGAAGAAAATCACCATGAAACAAGAATAGAGTAGGAATGTTTAAGGAATTACTACTGTTTTTGGAAATATCTATGTATACATAAAAGGCTAATATGCTAAGTGTTCGACCATCCAACCAGTTGCTATGATGCACACTGACCACAAGGGGGCAGACGCTCAACGCAGGAGCTGCCGTGATGCGCACTGGCTATTTACAGAGAAAAGGCACCACAGACATGGCGCCCACAAAGCAACACTTGGCTTCCCCCAAGTGGGACATGGGCCCCGCCATCACCCTAGAGCAACACCCCACCAAATCGCAGCTGACTCTGCGGAGATCCCATGGCGCAAAATGCGGCCCACAGCCCAGCCCAGCCCAGAAACGGTGGCTGTAGGTGCTGGGTAGGTAATGACATCACCTAGCAACGCCTGGCTTCCTCTCCCTAGCAACTAGCCTCCTTGGAGTTTCTTCTGCCTAGGAATACAACTTACTTTATAGCCAAGTGGAAGCATTTTACACTTTAACCAAATGTCTGTGAAGCGTTTTCACGTGCCTCATCTCATTTGATCCTCAGAACTAGTCTCCTTGCAGTTTCTTCAGCCCAGGAATACAACTTGCTTTATAGCCAGGTGAAAGAGTTTTACACTTTAACCAAATGCCTGTGAAGCGTTTTCACGTGCCTCATCTCATTTGATCCTCACAGAAGTCCTGGAGTAGGTAGATAAGAGACTCTGTGGAATCCTATTTTCTTTTCATTAGCCGGAAAATGGAGATTTAGAAAGCTTAGAAACTTGACCCGATTGAAAAGAAGAAATGGTGGACCTTGAAAATGACTTCAGGTTTTCTCAATGCACAGAATATAGTCAAACACTGCTGCAGTTAAATGTTTTACCCTTTGTTCTCCCTGTGTGATCTACAATAATAATCTGCTTTGTGTTGATATTTACTGCTGTGTTGCTGACAATTACCTGAAAGAGAAGTTGGGGTGTTTCACTGGGCTGGAAAAAGTTTAGCTACATCAGAAAGCAGGTCAAACTAAACAAGTTTATTTTTTATCTATAAAAGGCTAAGTTGACTCGTGCATGCGCAAAACATGTAACACTCTTGCTGGTGCCAATCGCATGCGTGTGTTTTAATCTGTCATTGTCGATCTTGAATTTGGTTGACACTTCTATTATAGAGAAAGGGCAAGCAGCGATATTAAAATATTTCTTCTAATTAATGTCCTTTCGGTGTGCATGAATTTGTGCACCAGGCCACTAGTGTATATATAACAGCCAAAATTGAAATTTTAATTGATGAGTTAGCGATAAACCAAAGGTAATATCCAGAAAGTAAAAAAAAGACAGCAAATGGAAAAAAATAAGGAAAATATAACAGGGTGAAAAAATCTGAACTCTTAGAAGTTCCAGAAAGGGAAAACAGTAGGAGAAAATGACTAAAGAAACAGTGCACCCACTTCAGACCTGCAGTCACTTGATGTGCTTGCTCAGCTGCATTGAGAGGCATATTGGAGACCTTCCTGTCAGAGAATCTGGGGGTTGAGTACTGATGGGAGCATGGAACATAAGCAGACAGACAAAAAGATGGCAGGCCTCGTAACTATTTGTCTTTTAGGTACCTGTTTTACTTTAAATTTTAAAAGTTATGTTAACTTACTGATGGACTCATAAGAACAATAGCTTTTGGGGAAGTCTGTCACCCACTGAATTTTCTCATCTGCAGGTACTGGGCAGTTGCATTGCCCGTCTACCTCCTCATTACTATAGTAATCGGGTATGTACTCTTATTTGGAGTAAATATGATGAGCACCTCGCCACTCAACTCCATTCATACAGTCACAGGTAAATTTATACCAATGGGATGTGCAGGGGGTTGGAGGAGTGGGCTCCTAGTGGTTTTATCAAGAAAAGTAACCAAGAACAGGCTGCAAAAATGACACCTCAGCATACCAACTTGGAAGACATAACGCAGAGTTATACCAGAGGCAAGTTTACGTGGGAAGTAAATTCTGATGAATACCCTGTTCATAGCACTAGGCAGCAGGTGCATTTGCCCATAAAAACCACAAGTGTATAGCATGTTCCTCGACAGCTCGCTGGCAGGAACTTCCTTTATCCTCGACAGGCATTGTTGATGGAGGGGTGCACACAGGCCCATGCAGAGCTTGTCCGGGAGGAGGGATTTGGGGGGGGACGGTCCTCAGGATCCCTGTGTACACCTGACCACAGTAAAGGGTAGACAAGCCATGGCATGTTTTTGCAGTTTTATTTTTTAAAGTTCTTTTTTTCAAATCTAAAGATTAAAATAGGAAGACTCCTAAGCTTGCTTATATTCTAAAACGTAATCAAGAAAAGCAACCAAGAACAGGCTGCAAAAATGACACCTCAGCATACCAACTTGGAAGACATAACGCAGAGTTATACCAGAGGCAAGTTTACGTGGGAAGTAAATTCTGATGAATACCCTGTTCATAGCACTAGGCAGCAGGTGCATTTGCCCATAAAAACCACAAGTGTATAGCATGTTCCTCGACAGCTCGCTGGCAGGAACTTCCTTTATCCTCGACAGGCATTGTTGATGGAGGGGTGCACACAGGCCCATGCAGAGCTTGTCCGGGAGGAGGGATTTGGGGGGGGACGGTCCTCAGGATCCCTGTGTATACCTGACCACAGTAAAGGGTAGATAAGCCATGGCATGTTTTTGCAGTTTTATTTTTTAAAGTTCTTTTTTTTCAAATCTAAAGATTAAAATAGGAGATTCCTAA